ACATCTTATGGGTGTAGATACTTATGCATCTAATAAGTGGATATATAAGGTGACACTTTTATATTGGTTGCATTTGCTTGCTTTTCTGTTGATTTACGATAACGCGTTCCATTCATTTTATGCAAATTTCATTGGTAGAAAATTTATTAGAAATATTTTTCTTTTTCTTGCTGGTCATATTTATTATGCATTTTCTGAATTAATAATGTTTTATTAGCCACGCCACACAGGCTGACCGTCTAAGGTTACCTCTTCTAGACCGGACTTGCAGCATATGTATCTTGTCGATCGCTGAACATCTCGCATAATAATCATAAACGAGGGATCTTGGATTAACAGCTTATAATTCTTCAATTAATAAATATGACACAGCCTTGCCTGACTCGTAAATCTCAAAACATACAGATTCAAGAGTTTTACAACGCAAAGAGCTGTATAAAATGTCCATCAAGTTTCCATAGCAACCAAAATTTGCAATTTCAATTAGTGCAACGCCCTTAAGTTCATGCCGGCAACGCGAATGAACTATTTCACATAAATCAAAAGTCTTGGGGCATGGCGTCAACTTGCTCAGCGCATTTCCTGCGCAAAAAGCGAAATTTAAATAAATAAATTGAGTTACCACCTCAAAATGCGCTTGTCGACAAGTTGAGCCTTGGCTTTTTGGTCTGTGGTGTAAAAGTAATTGCCTGTTTGAGTCCAATTACGACAATTTCACTATTACCTCAATTGTTGGTTCTATGCAAATGGATTCCGCCAGCATTTATCCCATAGTTCTCCACGGATATCCAATGCCTTTGCATAGATGATTGCCCCTACGATTTCTCTATTAGCCATAACCAGGGTAAATAGGCAATTGACTTGAAATTGGCAATTATTTTTTGTCTGTTTCAGAGACAGGCAAAAAGTTAAATGGTAAATAGAGACCCAGACAGACTTCCATATGTGAATGGTTGTCTCTCCGCATTTTTCCCATCCTCAGCCTTAGTTTCAGCCTCTGACTTTGCCTTCAGCCTCGTGAAAAGCCCAAGCGCATTATGAATGAATAATGTATGAATGAAAATTGCATGCACGTGTCCTCGAGCTATAAAATGTTTCACTCTTCGCCGTAGTTTCTTCCAAAGTCTTTGCATCGAAGAACTTTGTTGGAATTGAACTCGGAAAATTGACTACCAAAGGTTTGAATGCTTAAGAGCTAATTCAAAATCCAATAAAATTCTTAATCTTTCAAATTTTAAGCTTAACAGATTTGTTGCTTCGTAATCATAACACTTCTTAAGCGCAGAAAAAGAATTGTAATTAGAGAAAATGATTTTTTTTGGTAACAATAGTATACATTTATATTTATATTTATTTTATACTTTACCCATTAAAAACTTTCTTCATTGCATTCTGATTCAACTGATTTAACTGATCTAATTCGAGCGTTGAAAAGAGTTCGTCAAGTTCGTCACCTCAGTCTTTTGTTTAGCAGCGCCTTCGTTGATGTCTTCATTAGCGACGTCCAACGATAAGCGTATTTAATGCTGGAAATTTGTTTTTAATAACCCAAGGCGAACGCTTTTAATTAATCGAGTGAAAGAAGAAAAGTCTTTTGTGACAAAATTCATCGGCAGTAGCTAGACGATTTAAATGCAAATCAGAGCTGCCTGTGAGTGCATCGAATCGTTAAGTTGCCTGAAGATATTCAATTTGGGCACTTTGCTGCTTCCTAAGCATTGTTAGATGCAGTTATTAAATTTGACAGTTTACAGTTGGCGATAGCTTTGAAGCAATGCCGCCGCGGCTACTAAATTACTTCGATTTGGAGTATTATCAGCAGCTTGTTTGAGTTTCTGGTGCAGCGACGGCAGCAGATAAAAGGCGGCAAGTCAGGGAAAAGGAAGGTAAGGAAAAGCGATTTCAATTAGCATTTTGATGGCTCTACAAATGAGCGGACAGAACAAAAACCGCCGCCAATGATAGGCCATTGATAGCACATCATAAAGCAGGCGATCATTTTGTGAATCGATTTGCCGTTCATCTGTCTCATTACACTCGGAAAAACAACAGCAAAGGTGATTTAAAATTTAAAGCATTTTTCACAAAGGAAATAATATTATAAAGATTTCACGACATTCACATATTATGAAAATCATTATTTTTTAAATAAAAACTTAATAAATATTAAAAGTAAATACAATTTTGTAAACATTTTTATGGCAAATATTTTCCTATCGTGCATACACCGCTTTCCTTGGAGAGGCAGCTAGAGTTTCAGTCGCTCACATTATTAAATCATTTGGAATTTATGAAACGTCACGCGATTTTCGAAAGACACCAGCCATCAAAGTGGCCTCCAACTGCGCCAGCTATGACAATCTTCGGGGTAATTAAGTTTTTGCCAAGTGACAAATTAATCGAACCGCGGCAATTGCCGCAATGACCGTCTGGGTCCGGCACGCCTGGCATTAATCAATGCGATGTCAATTCAACTGCGACACGGGGATGCAATTTCACTCATTTTTTTCGCCGTTATTGGAAATTCGCCGAAAACAAATGGCAAGCAGTGATCGAGGTTCGAACATAGCATTCAACGAACCAACGACTCAGTTTGGCAATAGAATTGTAAGCATTTATCTTGTAGCTCGTTGGCGTTGTTCGCCTGTGTCCGAGGTCTTTGTATTGTGCGTAGACCCAAAATAGGGTCTTACTTTTATCTTTTTGCATTACAAAAGTATAGGGTTACCAAACGATTTGTCAACGTTTAGCTAGTTATGCGTCGAAGGGGAAAACTGGCACCGGATCCAAACATTTTGTTAGCTCGTTAAGATTTGTTGACACTCGTGTTAATGTTTTGTGTTATTTTCGTTTCTGTGCTTTCTTGGCTTGTTGGTGATGCAAATCAACTGGGCAGACCACCTGGAATGCCAGATCATGCTTGAAGCTTTGTGGTAGAGTACCGATGGATTGGATATTCCATGGCAGAAAACATTAAATTTACTATAAATAATGCCAACTCTATATTTTTCAGTTCAGTTCTTTGATATCGTTTATTTAAAGTTATGTCAATTATAATTTAAGCCATGTTTGGTTGACCCAAATTTGAAAATAGTTTTGTTAAATTTAAAAACTACATCTGATTCTCTTCCAACATATAAATAACCCTAACAATTTTCAATGAAATGAAATATATATTAAGTATAACAAAATAAGTTTAAGGGGACTTCAGCCAATTAAAAAAACCCGAACTGTTTTTAAATTTTAATTGTAAATCTCACAATTGATCACCGATCATTACAAGCTCTAATTTCACCTTTACCATGGAAACAAGAGCCACTGCATTTCACCAACTCAAAGACCATATCAAACGCTAGCCGCATCGTCTTATCACCGTATTTATGGTCAGAGCGATCCGACTTATCCGACACAGTACACCACTTAAGGGTCTCCGGGGTTTTGGGACCTTTTATGTTTAATTTAATTATGGTAAAATCATTTGATGCCAGTCCGCTTCATTTCGTTTAATTTGATTCGATTCGATTTCATTAACAACGCCTGCTCCACGTAAGTCCGCAAATCCACATAGTTATGGCTCCGAACGAATTGTGGGCCTCGAACTCGAGAAATCCTCGAAGCTTGGCATAGGTTGCAGAGGTCGGTTCCCAAACCATGACGAATTGTGTGCCCCAGTGTCATGTTAAATAAAATTGATAGAGAAATTAGGCAAAGCGCTGGAGTTGGCTAGAGTGCGGACCCGCCTTTAATTGGGTCGCATTAGTTTTGGACCTTAAGTGGTGCATTTGTCAGAGATGATGCCCCCGTGTGCGGCGGCCCCTGCAATTAGTCAATTAATGAAAAACCCATAAATATGCGGCTAACATTCGTCGATAGCCAAAAAAAAGGGGCTGCCCGATGTCCAAAAAGCTCTCGAAAATGGCAACTGCAGCGGTCAGTGGGCCGATATATGCTCTCCGCTAGCCATAAATTAATAGTCCATTATTTCTAAATTTTTGTCCACTTCAAACTGTCGTCGCCGAGTCGCCCAAAGCCAACTGACTGCCCTCGTTTGCATTTTAATCTTTCGATGGGGCGATGGGGCCACAAATTAGTCCAGAGCTGACTCTGTGTTGACTTGTCAGTGCGGCCAATAACTTAGGCCGGCGGACGCGATTGAATCATGTAATGCTGGAAAACGAAAGCAAAAATAAAGTCTTTTTTCGTTTGGCATATATTTTGGGAAAAAAAGTTATGTAAATCATTTTGTGGCTGCACATATTAATTCAAAATTGCTTAATTTCCTTCGCATGCCAGTACGCATGGGCCAAAAATTCGACGGATGGGTTCACTAACAAAAACATTCTAAAAATGTATATAAAAATTTTCTAAATGATAACCATTTGTTATAAAGATCCTTACCCTACAACTGACTACAATTGAATACAATGTATATACTACATTATATGTTTAAAGAATTTTGGTTATATGAATGCACGTTTCTGATGTGCCAGACCTGAAGTCAAAGAGCCAAATCCAAAGCCGAGTCGAAGCCAAACTTTACCACTTTTAGCCAGTTTGCCAACAGTTATGAAAAGTGGGGATCGGGGAGCTCCGCCGAGCAGTCTGCAAAGAGCTTTGGGCACTTTGCGAACTCATTTTCCGACTCAATCAAATCAAATAATTTATGCTTCGCGAAATTAACTGGCCGAGTGAGTGGAGGTCATGCCATATGTGAGGAGAGTCCAAGAAGCAGGAGACTCGGGGCCCAGAGCACAGTTAAATCTTTTGGCTGGCCATAAAGTGTGTTGATTTTTCCATTTGCGAGACCCTAAAGCGCTGCAATGCGAAATAAATAATTGTTTGGGGTAGAGGAGACCTTGTGGAAAATTGCCTGCAATCGGGGAGTGTTTTGAGAATGAAAATTTGCGTTGCGTTCATTTAGCCAGTGCGTCTTATTTATTTACAAGAAAAATAATACAAAAATCATAAAAATATAAGAAAAATGTGTGTGTGTGTATATATACAATCCGCCATTTTTGACCTATTGATTACTCAAAATCGAACTCAAAACCATCCTCCTGGTATTCGTATTCGCTGCTATCGCAGGTGACTTGAACATACTTGTTGCACCGCCAGTGATAATATTCCTCGGGTGTGAAGTTGCCCCACATCATGTCGCTGAAAACTTGCAGGGGTCTCGGGTTGCGTTCCTGGTTGCGAATGTTCACCAGCTTGTTAAGTTTTTCCCAGTTGCTGTGGTAGCTGTTCAGGGCTAGGTGCTCAAGATTGACACACTCGGCCACCATTTCGAGGAGCTGATACTCCCGGACGATCTCCCAGCCACTGAAGCTGATCACCTCCATTTGGTGGCAAGGCATGTGCTGGCGGTCCAGGAAGAAGTCGTTGTGGTACCAGTTCTCGCAGACCACTTTCCTCAGCTTGGGCAGTTCCAGCAGCAGACTGTTTTGCCAGCGTGCTGGCAACTGCACCACCTCGTTGTTCAGGGCAATCCTGGTGATCCTGTCGCTCTTGGCCATCACAATCTGCTGGAAGATGGTCTCCTGATCCGCATTCAGTTGCCGGGAGTCGTCGAACCGAACGGACAGGTTTTTTAATTTGGGCAGCTGAAGAACCTCGGAGAGCATACCCTCCACGGTGCTCAGATTGATTTTCAGCACCTCCAGATTGGGCAACTTGATGTCCGTGAGTCGGACGCAACTGTCGAACTGATCGGTGATGTCGAGGACCCGCAGCTGGGTCATGTTCAGGCAGATCTCCTGCACCCAGCGGCTGTCCAGTGGCACCGAGTGGTACAGGGAGTTGAAAACTAGCTCCTCCAGCTTTCTGAATCCGCGTATATACAATCCAGATAGGTTCATGCAGGTCATCAGGCGTTTCAGATTGGGCAGCATTACTGTGAGATCCCTAATGTCCTCATCAACCACTGTGTTGGGATTGCCCGCCAATATGCAAGTGTCCACCTTGGGAAATTTTGTGATGTTGATGTCACACAAATGTGTGATGTAGTCGTAGAACTCGGCAAAGGAGCCAACGCCATCTTCGTGGACATGCAGGTCGGTGAAGCTGTCAGCCATGTGCTCCATGAAGAACACATAGTCCTCGATGTCCAGGAGTCCCAGGAACGGGGTATTGGGTCCCACGATCAGGTGAAGCCTTCTCTGCCAGAACTTGAGGATCTGCGGCATAAACTGGGGATATGCCCTGGCCATCCTAACCTGATCGCTCAAGTTATCAATCTCCTCGAAGATCTGCTCAAAGAATATCATATGCAGGTTATCGATATAGTTCGGTTCATATTCCTCAATCGGTGGACAAGTATGTTGCTGGGCATCCAAAGCGCTCTTGTAAAACACTGTATTGTGCATTTGAGTCATGCTTGAACTTTCGTTTAATTTGTTCGTTGTTAAAGATGACGAAATCGATGCTTCCTTGAAGGCTGCTGTCGGTCGACTATACTGACAAAGTGCCGAACATACGTTTTTATACAAATTTAGGTAGCTGATTAGGGAGTGAGTCAGGTATTGGGAAAAGATGCACTTTGTCCTGATATTAGGCAACCATTTTCGCGGACTAATCCTTTGTGAACAGCTGCGCCAGCTTTTGTGGTAGTGGTTACCTGTGCTACCTGATCTGGAGGATCGTGCCGTGATTGCCGGTCCTCATAAATCGCCCCTCGTACTGCCAGCAATTTGTAAGTGTGTGTGTTGCAGAAAATCCCTATCTGTACAGTTATCGCGTAGCGTCTCGCTAGTTTGCATATTACACGAACCCAGACGTGTTCCGAGCTACCTCCTCAGCTCCCTGCTCCAAGCCAGAATCTTGGCCGGATGCGTTGGACAAAACGTGGTCAGCATTTGGTTCGCCTTGGCTTCTAGGAAATGCTAACAACTCTCGCACTGCACTCACAAGCAAAGAATAGTCCCACCGAATGGATTCTGTGAGCTTCAACGATCTAATAATCAAAGCCAAATGTTTTTGTCTGGCAGCTTACCAAGCGATTAGAGGAATCACAATTGAAAGCCGAGAGATGGGGAACACACTGAAAGAATAAAATTGGTTAAGTATATTTTTGATATTACAATTCACTGATTCAAATCCATTCATTTAAATACTTCGTAAATTATTATTTTACAAATCATTGACTGTTCCAAAAAAGTTAAAGGGTATTTTAATGACCATATTTTTTTCTTTGTTTTAGACATAAACTTGCATATAAATCAAAAGTTTTAAGAAAGTATTTGATAAATAAGTTATATTCACTAGCAGTAGATTGTAAATAATGTCTAATATCCTATAAAAATGAAAAGTTAATTTTTTGAGTGTGCGAGAAGGTTCACACCATTTCTTGGCCAAACTTGGACAGTTTCCCTCCGTTTCTCATTGATAATTTTTGGATACCCCGTTGTTGTCAATTGTCGTTGCGTTGCTTTTGTCAGGAACTAATGGCATTGTTGTCAGCCTTGTGTGTGTCTATGGTCTGTCAAAGCATAAAACTCGGGAACAGACAATGCTGACAATCTTGGCCGGGGAAGCAACTTAATGTCTGTATAATGCACATTTATGTTTTGGCCTGGTTGGTGAAAATATTTTCATTTGTTCATATTTTTCAACAAGTTGTTCGGTACACCCCAGACTCATGTTCATAAATTCTCAGCGTCTTTTATTTTTTGGGAAAACGTTGCTTCACACGACTCTTGGAAACGAGTTGGGGATCTGATGCAAATGCACTTGTCTCTGCTGTTCGGTTTTTCGGCTATGATATTTTTTGGTTTGTTATTTGACTGTCTTATCTGAGATCAGTGTCGATCAAGGCAGCAGACGAATTGTGAAACTTGACATACGGAGTATGTTTGAGAAGTGTATGGGTAAGTTTGGGGAGGGACTCGAGAGACTGTTTTAATAATTTTGACGTAATCACATCACAACAATCTACCGTGGAGTCTGTGGCTCTTTGACTTTGTCTGGCTCCCAAGTGGACCGTTCTTTTAGCCTCGATCTCTCCCTGATTTGTTCATTTAAATGAATTACAATATTTTATCTTTACACAGAGATCGTTGAAGCTTAAAACGTTGCTCACATACCTGCATCTCTTCCTCGCTTTTTCTTTACAGGTAGTTGAACTAAAGAAGTAAAGAACTTTCCAAGCAGCTGCCTGAAATTCCTATAGCCATAAAATCAGAAAGATACAAAAGGATCTGGCAAAAACAGCTGCCATTGCTAAATCAGGTAAAGCCCTTTTGGCCAAATTACTTCACACCTCCGAGCAGACAAGCCAACACGATCGGTAGCCGGCAAACAAAAAAATGCGAAGTGCACGTTTTTTAATTCATTTGTTCTAAAACTTAATCAGCCAGCGCGAAAAAGAGGAAGACTGCGTTTTTGGGCAGAGACAAGAAGTCGTGATTGCGCAACTCATAACTCACACAAGCCAACTTGAACTTGGCTTTTCTTGTTCCTTTTTTCTTTGCCTTTTGCTGCTGATGCTGCTTACATTGTTTAATTAAAAACGAGGCTGTTGTTGCTGTTGCTGCAGTTGCAGTTGCTGTTGCTCTTGCAACACGTACCAAGATGATGACAACAACGGCAGCAGCCACACTGGCAGTGCTACAGCAGCAACATCAAGAAACACACTTCAGCTGAAGGGGCAGCACTTCAAGTGGCTCAAAAGGACGACACGTTTTGGCTTCTGTGTAGAGCTGTTGTTAGCTGCGGTTTGCAGTTGCAGTTGCCCGATGCAGTTGGCCGCTGCAGTTGCTGCTGCAGTTTGCCATGGTGAAGTGGAAAGCAGTAGCTGCAACAACAGCCACAAGAGGCGCACCACTTGCCACAATTACCGGGCCGGGACTTCCAGCAAACTCCGGACTTTGTCTGCGGCGGCTGCTTAATTTTCAGACAGCCTGCGATTATATTGCTCCAGAAAAATACGAAAATGATGGTTGCATTGCTCTTTCCCAGAGGTTGTGTTGAAAAATTACTCAATTCGCTAAGATTTAAGATTTAATAAAATGCATGAAATTGTAAGAGTCAATAATAAGTAAATAATAATAATAGTTAAAACACGCAATCATAAGTTTTGAAGTGATGTGGTTGATTTTACACAGTAAATAAATACACAAAATACTCATTAAGAACGAATTTTTAATTGCTTGAACTTAAAATAATTAAAAAATACTAGGTATTTATATCATCGCCATGTTTTAAATGAATATCGTAATTTAATAAATATTGTATTTAATTTAGCTAATTGTTTAAAATAATCTCCAAGGGAAAAACTTTTTAGAAGCTTCCAAGTGTGTAGCTGATTCGTAGATACAATTTCAATTTAGTTTGTGTCAGCGCGTGGTGTTTATAATTCGCGAATCATGTTGCATTGTTCGGGGCGTCTGGTGCCGCTTTAGCTTCGGGTGATTCTGTTTCTGTTTCGGTGGCGATGATGAGGAGCTTCACTTTTATGGGGCCGGGGCCCCAACCTGGATGGACCATGGCATGATGGGGCACATTTGCCACGGACTTGAACTTGGCTCCTGTGAGCTTGGCTCGCCTTTAACAATGACAATTGTTAGTGCCGCAGTCCACAGCCACTGCTGATTATTTTGACTTGATAACGAGCTAAACAATAAAAACAAGCATCAGCCCAAACAAACTGAACAGAACTTTTCGCCAAGTCATGTTTATCAGAAGAAGAACTGGACAGGATTCATCCTCAGGCTTCGGAGTGTGTGTATGCTGTAATCAATTTGAATGCCTTGGGGTTTTTATTTCGCTGGATTCGAGTTTGTTTTGTAGCTTGTTTGTTGTGATTTCTTAAGTTGTTGCAATTATGTTCGGTCTGTCGACGATGTACTCTGCATAAAAGTGAAAACTAATTGAGGAGGAGATGAAAATGCCCAAACAATCGGGAAATTAACATGTTGTCAGATGTTACCTCTTGCTATTTTACTGTTTGGTAGCACTTTGTGTCATTCGACACGTTTGCTACTTAGCAGTCGTAAATTGGCGATCCATAAACTGGCCAAACGATAAGCGGCTAACAATCGCTAACAAAATGTAGAACGACTCCAGCTATGAATATGCTCAAGATCTCTATTGTTGGCACCCCAAAGGCGATTTGCATAAGAATGAATGCAACCTGCGGTGGTAACTCTACCCTTTCCAGCTGCATTTAGTCACAAATGTTTCTCGGTCATAAAGTAGAGTCCCCGGCGGAAAGACAAGATACATGCAACTAAAGTTATCTCCAACACTTGATGATCCCCAAATGGACACCAGATGAAGTGTATTGTGTTGTCTTAAAAGAGCGGATATCTATTGTATGCTTTTTGGAGCGATTCGATTTAAGATGAGATAAAATTTATTTAAGTGCTGTTTTACTGCAAATTGTTTTGCTTCTGAATGTCCAAACTATCGATCAGAGATTTCAATTCTATGGATCTTTGATTGTTTTGCTTCTGAATGTCTTGACTATGGCATCCATTTCAGCTCTTATATAGATAGATTCTTAAGTGATCTCTTGAAGTTTCGGCGATCAATTTGATCACTTGTTTTGGGGTTATGGTCTTTCAAGTTCAAACCCCAAAAGAAAAATCTTTTCAGTTTATTTTAAAACAATGCATACTAGTAGCTGACTTAAAAACATTTTTGTAATCCAAGTTGAAATGATATACTTTTGTCTATATATAAACCATACCATGAAAAACTCATCTGAGGCCTTCCTATTTCCAGTTCTCAGTGATCGGCTTCAATTACTCATCCAGAAAATTTCTCAAGAGACCGCACAGACGGTGGACAGCCCCCTGTCCTCCTCCCTCTGGATATTTTATGTTTTCGCCTTCGTTTATCATTGTACACTTGACTTGACCTCCCGTTCCAATTCATAAATCAACAAATCATTAATTTTTCACTCCCCCGAATAAACTACACGCCTGAGTACCTTACCAATTTCCTCGGGTTTAAGATGGAAAACCACACCGGTATCGTAGAGAAGAACGATGAGGAATGGGGGAGAAATGAGAACCCTTTCGCAGTGGGAAATCTTGGCTCCCACAATTAATCAAAGTTAAATTCGGAGCTGGGGCAAAGGCAATGAAATGGAACACGCACACCCAGATAATTTGTTTATTGATCTATTGTGTTGAGTTGTGGATATATACGAGCATAATTGAACATGCTAATTAAATGTGGGATTCCGGAGGGGAACCTTTCGTCATGTTGGATTTTCATAAGCTATGACCCCCACTTCTGGAAGTCCGTATCCTGTCGGTCTTTAAGATCGCATTCCTCCCTTTTCAGCGGCATGCTAAGTAAGATCGCTTATCGCCGGTTCTTAATAAATATCAGTGCAAGGCGATAGCACTCACACTATTTATTATACAAA